GGCTAGGCACTACCGTGCCAAGCTTGGGTAATGGATCCCGTTCGTCCGTGGTATGCATCATATAATCGTCTTACTGCAAGTAGTGCTACCAGTACATTTCAACCAGCGACTTCAAGCACAAGCAGTGACTTTGTATCTCATCATTTAGCAACAGCTGCTACTCAAGCAGCTCCTTCAACAACAACGTCACAATTACTTTTACAAGCTGCTCATACAACACCAACTCTGGCGGGTCAGCCATCTTCATTTAACCCAGGGGGGTTTTTGTCTCCACCCCCTGTGGGATATGATGTTTTTACACCATTGTTTCATCATCCTAATCCTAAACAAGCACATTATGTTACTCAACATAGACAAGCTCTTGCTCAGGCACAAGTGTCAGTAACAAAACAAAATACTACAACAGAATCTGATATTCCTGTATTAAGAGAAAATTATAGTTCAGCACATCAACCAACGTTTTTTGAACACCAGGGTGCAGCAACGTCACCTACAACATCTACATTAGCTTGGACTCATCAGAACAATACACAATTACCTAGTCCATTTGGTATTTTGCCTCATGAAAGTGTTGTTCCTTCATCTCCAGGACCATCTACTACAAAGCCAGCTAGTGGTGTTTATGAAAATACGTTTAATTCTCAATTTGCTACAACACAAACTATAAATAATTTAAATTCCCAATTATCTACATCTTCTGTTCCTGCTGCAGATTTTAAATCATCTAATTTCCCAGATAATAAAAAAGCAGTAAATGTAAGGCCTCAATCACCAGCAGTAAATGTGAAATCAGTAGTATCTACATCACAAACAAACAGCAATCAAAATTTCTTTCAATCAGTACCTACTACATTTAGTTCCGAAACGTTAGCAAATAATTATTCCACTGGAAATGGAAATCAAACTCCAAATGGGAAAGTGCAACCTACTCTTCAACATCAACAATCATGCATTGTTTCAACTACAAATAATGCAACCAATAAAGAGTATAGAATTCCTCAACCACCTGCTAGGTCAGTTGCATCAACAACTATATTTTTAAATACATCTGTCAGATCTGTGTCTTCACAAATTCAAGATAAGCAGTCCACACGAAATTTTGCTTCACCTCCAAATAAAGCAACTTCTACATCTCAACAAAACATACAAACTAAAGCACAGACAAAAATCTATCCAGAATTAAATACACACAGTAGTGAACATAGACGAAACGAACAAACATCTCATGATAATACTCAATCATCTCCTATCAGCTTTTCCATCATGGATTCACGTGGTTTGAATTATACTGCTGGGAATAATACAAATTGTACAAATACTAGTGGAAAACTCAATAATAATCAAAGAACTCAATCAAATAGCAACTTACAGACTCATTCTCAACAATCACAACAACAACAGCAATTTCATGTTTTAAGCCAACAACAACAGCAGCAGCAACAAACATCATATAGACATTATCTAACAGGATCTACAACTGATCCTGAATATCATCACTCAGGAAGATCAAAATCTGCAACTTCCACTGATTCTGCTTATTCGTCTAACAATTCAACACAAAATGGACCTGATTGTAGTGTTGTTGTACCAAGAAGGCCAAGTCCATTGCAAGCGCATTCGCAAGCAAGTCCATTGGGACATGTTCCAAGCCCTGCTTATCCTATGTATAATAGTCCAATGGCTACTATATCTTCTCCTTCACCTTTACAACAACATACAGAAAATGGAAATCAATGTTCAAGTGGACCACCATATAAAGGAACTGTTCAACAAGTTACCCCACCATCACCATTAGATGTTACTGTTCCACGACCGGCGTCTCAAGGTCAGGTTGTTTATTCATCAGTTATCACAAGAGCTTTAGGTACTGCTGAAAATAAAACTAATTATAACACAGATAGCAAAAATTATGATAGACAGCAACAAGATTTTTCACAAGCTCAGAAACAAATTTGTTGGGAAAATGATAATCGACAAGCAAATAGTCATAGAAAATTTTCTGTTACTCTATATACTGGTGGAAATTCTGAAGTAAATCCTCAAACCTTGCCAGTTCAACATCAAGTACAACGAGTATTAAATGTTTCTGACAGACAACAATCATACTTTGACTCCAATCAAGTAACTTTACAAGATTTAAGTAGTTGTAGGGGAGATCCTATGAGTATTGTAAAGAATTTGCAGACATTACAACAAGGTTCTTGTCAAGTACAACAACAACAACAAACTACTGTGTCTGTTACTCCAACCGAACAACAAAAGCAAGTAGAAGAACGACGCAAAGTAGATACTACAAATAAGAAAAGAAAGAGTTTAGAAAAAAGTGGACATAATTCTTCGAATGAAATAAGTGGAACAACAACAATGACAGAATACCTAAGTAGGATACCACCACCTGCACATCATAATACAAATCAACAACAACAAAATGGTTATTTTGATTTTGAAAGATGGAATTTACCTCCACCTCCTGCTAAAATGTTTCCTGGCGCAACAGGTGCTTTCAGTTCACAATCAACTTTGCATCATTCAAATAATTTTGTTGGTACTCCAGCACATCAACATCAATCTTTGATGGTATCTCATCATCATGCTCCACCTCCTATTCCATATTTCCCTGCTTTTCATATTCCACCAAGCCATCATCATTCGCACGAATTTCAGTCTTCTGTTGAGATTACTCCTATTGGTTTTGGTGAAAACACAGCAAATCAAAATACTAATTTTAATCAAGATATTAGAGATGATCAACCTAAAGTAATTGTTCCTAACATTGAAGAAGAACTAGGTTTTTTACAACAAAATCAGCAACCAATTCAAACCATGAATATCTTAAATAAAGATTTTAAACAATCTAATAAAGATCCTAA